TTAAGCCTTTTAAATGACGAGAACTCCCTGTGGTTCATGATTGTGGCATGCGCCAGAAAGATGCTCAGCTGATGCAAAGAATAGAATTTATATCTACACAGAAGAAAACCCTGTCTAGACAATGCCCCGGTACGAGTTGTGTCGAGCTATTCATTTGACTGTTTGTTTGATGAAAAAAAGATTAAATGTAGTTGCAATAAATGCGTTAAGAATCCATACAGCTGCAGCAGTGGAGGACTATTATTCTGCTGCAGAAGAACTGATGACGGCACGGTTTGATCTTCGGCTGACCAATCAGCAGAAAGGGGCATTTAATTCCCGCCCACATGTAGAATATTATTCAAATATTCAAGCTGTTTATTCATTTTTCTACCCATGAACGAAAAATGAAAATTTAAGCTGAATTCTTATTTCAAATCAAATATTCAAGCCGTTTTCTCATTTTTCTACTTTCAATATTAAATCAAAAAATGAATGATCGACTGATACACGGATTCAAGACCAGACCAAATAATAAAAACCCAAACCAAACAAAATCAAACAAAACTAAACAAAAAAAACGAACAAACAAACAAAACGAGACCCAAAATAAACAAAACCAAACAAAATCAAACAAAACAGAAACCAACATCAAACAAATTAAAAACCAAACCACGTCAACAAAAAAAATATTGGTAAAGGTTATTTGTAACTGAAAAAAAAAAGGATTTCGAAAACAGGAATGTTACTGAAATTAGTAAACTGGCCATGTTATAAATATTATATGATTATTGATTTTTTTTCTTTCTTTTTCAGTTTAAAACAACATCAGCAATGAAGAACTGGAAATACTGAAGCTGAAACAGGAGAAACAGAGCATTTCAGGAATTTACAGAACTGCACAAACTAATTGCGAACTCATAAGAAAATATGTCTTGTTTGGCCACAGGAATTGTTCATCTACAACATCTGAGGTTCCTCAAATGTCAAGTGTTTTATATTTTTTATTCACAATCAAAAGCTCAAAGATCGATCTACTTTGGGAATATCGTCCATCCTTCCATGAGCATAAAGGATGCCTATGATCAATCCAGTGATATTCATCATGTAACATGAGCGCATCAGCCTGAACAGACATGCAATGGTCCTGCTACTTTTATTTTTGCCTTTCAAACTCTTGTATGCAGTGGCCTGTCATTTTCTCTGCTCTTCAAACAAGACATTGCTGCTTTGGTTGTTGCCTTTGGCATACCGGTGACAAGAAAGAGATCATCAACCATTTTCCAGTGATTTTGTTGAGTATGTGTCTCACTTGTGTGTGAATGCTGCCAGTGAGGAATCAATTCAACTGCCTTTGTGTGAGATCTCTCTCGGCTGCAGTCAAAAACAATATTTCAGCACTAATTTCAGTTCAAATCAAATATTCAAGCCGTTTTCTCATTTTTCTACTTTCAATATTAAATCAAAAAATGAATGATCGAATGATACACGGATTCAAGACCAGACCAAATAATAAAAACCCAAACCAAACAAAATCAAACAAAACTAAAACAAAAAAAACGAACAAACAAACAAAACGAGACCCAAAATAAACAAAACCAAACAAAATCAAACAAAACAGAAACCAACATCAAACAAATTAAAAACCAAACCACGTCAACAAAAAAAATATTGGTAAAGGTTATTTGTAACTGAAAAAAAAAAGGATTTCGAAAACAGGAATGTTACTGAAATTAGTAAACTGGCCATGTTATAAATATTATATGATTATTGATTTTTTTTCTTTCTTTTTCAGTTTAAAACAACATCAGCAATGAAGAACTGGAAATACTGAAGCTGAAACAGGAGAAACAGAGCATTTCAGGAATTTACAGAACTGCACAAACTAATTGCGAACTCATAAGAAAATATGTCTTGTTTGGCCACAGGAATTGTTCATCTACAACATCTGAGGTTCCTCAAATGTCAAGTGTTTTATATTTTTTATTCACAATCAAAAGCTCAAAGATCGATCTACTTTGGGAATATCGTCCATCCTTCCATGAGCATAAAGGATGCCTATGATCAATCCAGTGATATTCATCATGTAACATGAGCGCATCAGCCTGAACAGACATGCAATGGTCCTGCTACTTTTATTTTTGCCTTTCAAACTCTTGTATGCAGTGGCCTGTCATTTTCTCTGCTCTTCAAACAAGACATTGCTGCTTTGGTTGTTGCCTTTGGCATACCGGTGACAAGAAAGAGATCATCAACCATTTTCCAGTGATTTTGTTGAGTATGTGTCTCACTTGTGTGTGAATGCTGCCAGTGAGGAATCAATTCAACTGCCTTTGTGTGAGATCTCTCTCGGCTGCAGTCAAAAACAATATTTCAGCACTAATTTCAGCACTGTTACCACAGACGCAACACACATCCTGTTTATTCGCACCACAGTCAGTGTCGCATAGGACAGAACATTCCCATTGAGCTGTGATGCTGCTTAACCACTGATGTCAAACGGAATATGCCATCAATATAAAGGAGTCCAGACGCAAAGAGTTGGCATTTTTCACCCTGACTCAATCATGGATGATTCACATGGACGTAAATGTGTGAAGCAGGCTCTGAGCTTTATCTAAATCTATGCCAAAATGACTGCCTGTAAAACCAGAGCTCAGTGCCTGCTGTTTAAGAATGAATGCTCTTTTTTGCTTTTTTGATGTGGCATAACAAGTGGTGATTTTATTGTTATCTTAGAATAAATGGTAGCTACTAAACTAAAACTAAAACAGACCTGAGGCCTCATTTATAAAGACATTTTCTAAATGTTCATATGATTCCTAAAAAAAGGTCCCAAATCCATCCTGCTTTATTTTGGTATCCTACAAAAATCCCACAAATATCCTTATTTAGTAGAAGAGTGTCCGAATCATAAATTATCCATGTTTACAAGCACATAATAATTTGATTTCAAACCATGTTTTCACAAAAATATGCACTTGACATTATAAAATCTCTTATTTTTCAGTAGGTTTTTGAATCTTTTTCTGGAAGCAGATTAAAAAAATAATAATAATAAATTATTAGCATTTGTCCAAAAAAATAATTAATATCAGAATATTCATGTGAGTGCAAACATTGTCACTCATTTATTAATTTATTCAGGCAGTAACTCATTTCCATCACTTAAAGTCATCAGAAAATTCAGTGCGAAAAAAAATAAAGACAGAAATACTGATCAGATGGCAAATATTTTCACATTAGTTTCTGCCTTTATAAATGCTAGTGTTTTCATCACGTCAATTCATGGGATTTAGTATCAAGCATGTGCATATTATAAATGAGGCCTTGGTCAGAAAAGTGTGACATTTATGCAAATCAGAGTATTACAGTAGCGACCGAGCCAGATGTTTTAACATGGTATGGTAAAGTAATGCAAAAAAAATATTTAGTAAATAATCGATACACAACTATATTGTTTAGTATCACCCTTCAACTGCTAGTCCAGGATGATTATTGTGAAGTATCTACTTGACAAGGTTTTTGTTTGCTGTTTTCTGATCAATATGTGGTTGAACTGAAATACAGCCAAAAACAGCCATTGAAGACAAAACATTTATGTCTAACCCCAAGGATGTCTCTGTTGAAAGAAGTAACATGTTATTTGTATGTGATGTCTTGGTTTCCAGTAAAAATGTCTAAACATCCTTACAAGATGAATTGACTTTGGAAGCAACTTTTGATACACTATTTACTGGAAAACAAGATAAAAATACTGATTAATACAATTATTTTTTGCAGTGCTGTTTGCTACAGTGTAAAAGGACTCAGGATTACAGGAACCCGTTTGGACACGGTTTTGCGAATAATACCAGAAGGCTACTTCAGAAACACAAAGCATCAGGACAAAGGACAGTATAGATGCAAAAGCGTGATTCATTTGATGTGAAGTGTGGAGTGGCGCAGATCTTTGAGAACAAACTCAGGCTGTTAAAATGTATCACTTTGTATCAGTTCTTGTCTCACCTCATCTCAGTCTTTAGCATTTTGCTGATCAAATATCAGTCTTGCCGTCCATGAAATGGAATGCAATTTCAACTACAAATGGATTACAAAATATTTTATGGTCAATATATGCTGTGGGCTAGACATGATATATTTATTATGAAAAAAAGATATTAAATGAAAACTATGAAATGTAAATTGAAAGAATTGTGAGTTTCCTGTGAAATAGTGAGAAATGAAGTCTGTACTGTGCACATTTGTAAATACACTTGATAATGACTATTTTCACTTTCAAACTATAAATGTGTTTCGGAGTATTATTTTTGTAACAACAATATTATCAACAAGTATGTATCAAAAATCGAACGAACGACAGACAGACAGACAGACAGACAGACAGATAGATAGACAGATAGATAGACAGATAGATAGACAGATAGATAGATATCTCGATAGACAGATAGATAGACAGATAGATAGACAGATAGATAGACAGATAGATAGAAAAATATTTAGTAAATAATCGATACACAACTATATTGTTTAGTATCACCCTTCAACTGCTAGTCCAGGATGATTATTGTGAAGTATCTACTTGACAAGGTTTTTGTTTGCTGTTTTCTGATCAATATGTGGTTGAACTGAAATACAGCCAAAAACAGCCATTGAAGACAAAACATTTATGTCTAACCCCAAGGATGTCTCTGTTGAAAGAAGTAACATGTTATTTGTATGTGATGTCTTGGTTTCCAGTAAAAATGTCTAAACATCCTTACAAGATGAATTGACTTTGGAAGCAACTTTTGATACACTATTTACTGGAAAACAAGATAAAAATACTGATTAATACAATTATTTTTTGCAGTGCTGTTTGCTACAGTGTAAAAGGACTCAGGATTACAGGAACCCGTTTGGACACGGTTTTGCGAATAATACCAGAAGGCTACTTCAGAAACACAAAGCATCAGGACAAAGGACAGTATAGATGCAAAAGCGTGATTCATTTGATGTGAAGTGTGGAGTGGCGCAGATCTTTGAGAACAAACTCAGGCTGTTAAAATGTATCACTTTGTATCAGTTCTTGTCTCACCTCATCTCAGTCTTTAGCATTTTGCTGATCAAATATCAGTCTTGCCGTCCATGAAATGGAATGCAATTTCAACTACAAATGGATTACAAAATATTTTATGGTCAATATATGCTGTGGGCTAGACATGATATATTTATTATGAAAAAAAGATATTAAATGAAAACTATGAAATGTAAATTGAAAGAATTGTGAGTTTCCTGTGAAATAGTGAGAAATGAAGTCTGTACTGTGCACATTTGTAAATACACTTGATAATGACTATTTTCACTTTCAAACTATAAATGTGTTTCGGAGTATTATTTTTGTAACAACAATATTATCAACAAGTATGTATCAAAAATCGAACGAACGACAGACAGACAGATAGATAGACAGATAGATAGACAGATAGATAGACAGATAGATAGATATCTCTCAGAGATTGCGGACGGCTAGAAATCCAAACACTCTGCAGATGTTCAACTGGTCCATGGTCAAGACAGTCACAATTACACTATTTTGTAAACTGGTGTCCCATCGGCTGAGATTGCAGCTGAAGGATGCTGCTTTGGAGGAAAGGAACATTATACACATTTTTTTTAGCCTGTGGGTATTAGTAAGTGGTTGCTGTATTGATCGTACATGCTTTCAGATTTCAGGGTTATTAAAGTTAATGTGTCTGCGTACAGTTAGCCCCCAGCTGCACTTTGTTGAATGTTCAGACCTTACTGAGGTTGGAAACAGTCTATTTTTTCCTGAAGAACTGGAGATTGCAAAACCAAATTTAAAAATTAATAGTTCACATCAGATACTAGAAGAAAGGGTCTAGTTTTACACTGTGACCGGCGTTGCATTTGGAGCTCTAAAAAGTAAAATTACTCATGATAATTATATTAATTCACATAAAAATGAAAATTCTGTCATTATTTGGATATGTAGTACACTTGGATACACACAGGACATTCACATAAAGCAGTATTTACTACAGTATATAGAAATACATTTTTTACAAAATGTTAACTTTATTATCGCCCAACTGCAATCTGATAAATTACAAGTGATAAAGATATAAAGATAGAAGACATAAAGGTATTATAAACATTAACATCATGAGTTTCTATAAAGTTGCTTGAGT